TCCTGAGAAAAGGGACAGGCCCCTAATAAAGTGGCCTATACGTGCTTTTACTATTAAAAAATAACTATTAAAAAACTAAGCAAATGAGATTTTTTCACCCTGCAGGATTTAAATGTTGCCGAATTACTCTAGTTTAATATAAATGTATCGTAGAACTATTTCGGGTGGTTACTAACGATTAACAGTTCCTGAAATACCGCGATATCTATCTAGCAGATGGTTTTGGATAATTTGTCGAATTCAACGCCGAAACTCGACGGCTCAAAATCAAACACGCGAAGGTCAATCTTGACGTAAGCAACTTAACGAGACTTGTTCTAGTTTTACGATGGTGGATAAGCAGCATTTGAGTTTCCGAAGAACGTCACGTTAGAATTTAACTCTAGGAAATAAAATATAGAATTAAACGTTCCGTGGATTATGTTTCAGCATGTGTTGTCAATCCAGAGTGTGTGACCGCGGATCTGGTTACCCACCAAATTTGTTTATTCTAGCTTTGACACTAATTTTCGATTTCTTCGGGTTAAATTTGGTCGTTATTACTATTTTATGACCCCATACATCTCGTTCTATGGCTCGTGTCTTTGCAAGATTCCCTATATTGATTTCTATTTCTTTATCCATGGCTAATTTGTTTTTACCAAACCTTCGGCACAGCTTCTGTAAGTGGAATGGCAGCTATTGGTTGAGATTAGTTTATTTAGTAATTATAAATTGCCGTGTTCGCCTTGTTTGGCTAAAATGCTACGCCAGGTAACGAAGACCGAAAATTCACCCAATTAAGAAATAAATAGTGTTTAGCAAATTATTTTTTTAGTTTGTAAAGTGCGATCTTTGGTGTATCAAATATCTGTATGTTTGTTCCATTCTTTCTTTCGCTAATTCGAAAAAACCATGTAATGGGACTTAATTTATGAGAAAGCAAAGTGGTGCATACCAGAGGGACTGGGCCCCGATACTCCTTTAGAGTTCGTTTACAGGTTTGTATATCAATTTATATTTTCTGTGCCTTAGACAAGATTGTGTCACAGTTTTTTGCAAAACACGAATTATTACTTGCAGATTCAGCAAGGGCTGTATGGAAATCAGTAGCATTAAACAATTACTTGCAGATGGATACTGATCGTGGTTGGATGGTGTTCTTTTCACTGCCACCAGTGGCGTGCAGTACAATGTATTGCAGGGTATGCAAGAGAAAAAAAAATAGCGCCGCAGGCGAAAAATTTTTGGGGTGCCACGCCCTAATTATATGTTCCCATAAAGGACATAAAAAGTAAAATGTATAGTAAGCAACAGAACCAAAAAAACGAAACACTCAAAAGAAACGCATATATTACATATAGCACAACACAATACATTATTATGAACAATGTAGGTAGATATATTATAAAATTTACTTAACATATTTTAACTTTAAACTCAAACAAAATAAAAATCAAATAACAGCAAATAAATAAATTGGGCTTCGGTCGTCCAACTTCTATAACTTTTTGTTTTTCAACAAAACTTTTGCTGCTGAATGATGCCAAAGTCTTCAATTTTTTAATGCAATTCACATCAGCACTGCACTTACACTCCGACATGTTTATATCGTACACAATATTGCCAGATTTCCAGCACTGCCTAATATATTTTATGGTAGAATGATTTTGCAGTCAAATAAAATAGGAAACAATATACAGATGACTTACAACCAAATTTCTAATTTTCTACATAATACACATCTTGATAAAACATAAAATTGATCATTTGCCTAAAACAACGTGGGACCGTTTCTTACATAGTTCTGTAATAACATCGGTATTGGCAATATCCCATGCGGCGGGCCGCGGTATCGCTGTGTATCCGACGGATCGGACGGACCCGACTGCTTTCGTGTGTTCATTGTTTGCAGTAACGCACTGCTTTTGCTTGCCTATTTAAATGTAATGTTAAGCTTTGGCCGTGCGTTCGACTTTGAGTAATGGGATGCGTTTTTTAGGTGATAATAAGACGTTGATCAGGTGGCGTTTGTTTTGTATGATATTTCCGGCTTTGCAACCGTAATAAAGACTATGCTAACTTACTATTTAGAAAAATAAAAATATGTAGCTCATTTTAAATAGGTATGTCTTACGTAATGAATGAGCGTTGTTAGATAAATAGATTTTCAATTTATGTTTGTCTTGAATAAACGAATTGGGTAGGCAATGCTTTTTGGCCTATATGTAATGCACGCCACTGACTGCCACAAACCCAGCAACAGAGTCAGAATCCGTTCTTAATAAAATATTTTACAGGTACTCAACTGGTTGCGGATGCAACAATGTAAGCACTGCACACAAGGCTGCTGCTTTAGCATTACCTCACACAATACAATTTTTTTTTGGTATTCGCATTTTTAAACTCTCTTAGACCCCTCATGACTTTTGGTATATGACTCCCAATGATCAACCATACAAGTTTAAAAGATAAACCGTTAACCATTGTTTACTTCCAAATTGATATCTTCGTTTCCTGGCCCAGCTATAGTCTATCTGGACGTTCTCGCCACGCGTGATAAGAAAGGACCGAACATAATATTATTTGTTTATTAATTCATAAAAGTAACTATTAAACACATCCTTCTTTATTGAATTATTGAAAATACCTGACAAGTGAGTCACAACAATGCATCCGTTTCTCACCGCTACTAACATAATAAAATAGTCAATAAAATTATATATGCCTTGCTGTATACTTCCGCTTAAAAATATATGTTAGACAGCTTACGCGATTTTTGTGCGCTAATGGAGTCTTTTTTCACACGAACTAATTGAAGCTGGAACTGCGGTTTGATTGAATAATGAATTAAATTAAAAAATATTTTATACAACGTATGGTGGAACGTTGGTTTCCAATTATAAAGGAACCGACGTTAGGTATGTTACCTTACAAAAAAGTATATACAGAGTGTCCACGTTAAGGACTTACTACCCCAGTAAAATCTTTGTTTTTTTATCGATTTTGATAAACTTTTTTTGTCAGTTTGGTATTCAAATTGTGCATTCGACGAGCAGGAAATATTTCTTTTTAAGGTCAACGGAAACCATATTTTTTTGGCAAATTTCAACTAGTAGGATTTTCTTTATTTTATATAGCTCATGACGGATTCTTCCTCTCCTCTCTCTTCTTCACTTAAAATATATTTATACCGGTTTTCATTGTTCTAAACTTCAGGGTGTCCGAGAAAAAAATGCAAATTAAAATTAATTAAAAAATGAAAATCAAATGTAGTTATGAAGGATTTTTTTAAAATATTGCGAATCCCATACAGTTGGCTCCAAATATCAATCAGGGTTTATTGTTATATTAGGGGTATTATAATTCAAACGGATCCTAAGAACTAGGTCACAAACGCTTACTCAGCGTAAATTTGGCTATTTAAAGACGTCACATCTAAACGGCCAGCAGCCACATTAGTTTCTCTCGGAAGACGGTTACTCTCTAGTTCGCTTGGCAGACAGGTTGTTTCTCAGACTCTCGTCTCTCTTAGCTGGCTATTCCTCGGAGTTCCAGCAACCACCCTATATAGTCGGCCTGCTCAGGAACCCGGGACTGTCAAACTGTTTTCTTGCCGTAACTGATCAAAGTATGAAAAATCGATTCGCGATAATTCCATTTTTTAAAATTTCATATTTTATTGAATTGCGCTTTGAATGAAGAGTAAGTAGAACTAATATTTTTTGTTCTGACCTATTTCGTTTTTTCATAAAATAAAAAAATATTAAAATTGTGGCATATTTTGGAACGGCTTTATTGATTGTCGACATAGTATATTAGTTGTTTGGTATTGTTTAGCGAGTCCAAAAAATTGAGAATATACATGGTGTTCCATTTAAAATATCAAAGCAATGCAACTGTTTTTATTCTGCAAATGTTCACAATGTTCTACTCTATCAACATTTTGTCCTCTCGTAAAGTGCCAGCCTTGCCGGTAAGGTGTACGCCTACGTGTTTGCTATATAAGTTGTAAAGCGAGTGTTTTTATAGAGAGTTCTACCTCCGGTAACGACACCACGGATATAGCCAGTAGGCTGTGGTAATTTTGTTCGCATTTTTAATAAAAAATAAGGTTTATAATGTGGGACCCCAGAGAAGAACTTCGAAAGATTCAAAATAACTAATATCTCAACTTTGAATGAAGGAGAATTATTTTTCATTTGATGCCCGTTACCTTTAATTAATAAATGTATAAGTGAAAAAAGAATTCTCCAAATTTAATTTTGTTAAACAAATAGTGTCGGTTAGTTGGATATTGACTTCATACTTCAAACTAGGTTTTTAAGTCCTTCCCAATAAGAATTTGTCAGTTTTTTTTTTTATAAAAAGTTCTTAACATGTATATAACGAGAAGTTAGGGATTTTTTGCACCTCTCATGAAATTTTGTTTGTGCATGTTCTTCTTTGTTGACGTTACGTTAAAAAGTTGGTTTAAGTCTGCGTTTCTTTCGTTCTTTAAAAGAATAAAGAAGGTTTAGATGCAGAAGAGCAATTGACGTGAATCACAGTCCGTACCTTATAAAAAATATTATTTTGCGCGATAGTCCCCAATAAGAGTCCAGGCAGATTTTTTAATTTAGAAATAATGTTAGCAACCTAACTTATTTTTCATATTATTATTCCGCAGCACTAGCACAAAACTGCGTTCGCTTTCCAATATTTAACATGTTAGAAAAATTTACCTTCGAATCGCCGACTCAAATATGTAACGACCATAGAAACGGCTTTTTTGGTATGACAAAATTGAGGTTTTCTATGCCACTAGTTATATGCTCCAAATTGCAGACGAAGCCCAAAGCTAAGGGATAATAACGCCTCGCTGACACCGCATCGAAAGCCCTATTTATTCGATTGTCATATTGTAAAATTGCTCTTAATTATTCCAGCCTTTTTCTCGGCTAGTCCGAATAAAACTTTATTTTGCTTTCTGTGTAAATAAATGTTTTTAAAAACGCTCTCCCGAATTTTGATCATTTAAGTGGCGCAGTCGGAACGGATTTTCTAAATGCAGTAGTGGTGGACAATCAACCAGAATCTTCTGGGAGTTTCTGTGAAATCGCCAATCGTGGAAAGTTCGAAACTTTTGGACATTCGCTACGTGGATTTTCAAATTCTTCAGCACACAGAACCAGCAGCAAGGGAAGCAGAACGACAGTCTATGCAAAGGTACAACCCGCATGTGACGAGTTGTAAAGTTGAGCAGGAAAGGAGACGGAAAAATACGAAACCGTAAGTGCCATTTCCTTTTGCCCCTCCGATACCTCTGCATAAGGTCACTTGAAGGGATAGTTTACGGCTCGCATTGCACGCGATTAGGTTAAGAAAAAGAGAAAACAAATCAAACCAACCAATTAATGAGCGATTCTGAAATCGAAAATCTCGAAAAACAATTCAATTCAATTTTAATGTTAGGTAGTATGAGTAGTGCGGAACCTAGATTTAATTGGAGTCTTTTTAACTCCAAGGTAGATAACATAAAACCTTACGACGGAAATAGCAACATGCTAAACAAATTTATTGTCAAGTGTCTAGAAATAAATTCGTACGTTAGTCTGGGAGATGCGGAACTAAATAGCTATATCTTCGATTGTATCAATAGACAAACTAGTAGGGAAAGCAGAGTTAATAGGAGGCAACCAATCAGAATTAACAGATTGGTTAAGCATAAAAGATGCGCTCATTCAATGCTTTGCAGATAGGAGAAATTTAGATTGTCTCATTCAGGAATTAACTAGAACAAGATCGTTCAAAAACGAACATTTAGTTGATTTAGATGGTAGGCTACAACTTTTAAAGAATAGTGTAATAGAGCGGATTAGCAATTCAGAAGATTTAGATCATAATGAAAAACTTTTCCATGTAAATTATTACAACAAAATCGCGCTCAATACATTCATAGCTGGATGCACCGGAACGCTCAAAAACCACATGCATTTAAAATAACCTGATTCTTTAGAGGAAGCCATTGCTTATGTTTCCGAATTTCAAAATTTCGAAAACGGGAATCTAAGCAACACAAAACAATTCCAAATACCCAACTTCCAACAAAACAATGCCAAACAATTCAACACGAAACAACATTTTCAACTATTTCAAAATCAGCCGAATCTAAGTAGATTTCAGCCTGGGATAAATCCCAAGACAAATTTCATGCCAAATAATTTTAACAATTTTTTAAATCCAAATCTGTATCAAAATCATTTCCAAAAACCACAATTTCCATCTCAACCAATAAATATTCAACCGAGGAAAATACCTCAAATAAAATTTCCAACAAATCGGGAAGTTTTCGGACCCCACGAAATGTCTTCCAACTCAATCAAATATCACCCAACCAACTTCCTAAACCGACACCAATGTCAGGTATCTCAAGATAAACAAACAATTCATTTACAAGACGACCGATAAGACAAAATTACTTCACTAACAACAATCAACCACCGAATTTTATAGCGGAAGAATTATTTAACCAAGAATGCGGTGAAAACTTTGATTATTCTGTTAATCAAAGCGCGTACAATGATTACAACTAATTTGAGGAAAATTATGAATAAAGTGAGTATGAAAATACATCGCACATCGAACAAAACGTCGAAACACAAAATCCAAATGACTAAAATTTTCACGAACTCAGCCAAACAACCAACCCTAGTACAAATTAATATTTCTTCTAACATCGCTTTACAGCATATTCAAATATGTAAAACGAAATATTAAACTACTAATAGACACGAGTAGTTCACGCTCGATATTACGTCGAACTATCGCTAAAAAATATTTTCCAAGACAGCAGTAGGAAGTAAGCTAGCATACAAGCATTTTCTGAATTTAACATCTATTCTCGAATAGAGTTTATCTTATTTGATTTCCATGACTTTTTGACGGAGTAATAGGCTTAACTGATTTAATTAATATGACTCTGAACATCTATTTATTAAATAAAAAGTTAATAGGATTCAAATATAGAAAACAATCAGACCCAAACTTTATTCTAACTGTAAATCCTCATGAAACATCTTTAAAGAAAATACCAGTAAGTGAAATCGAAGGCGATATTTTTATAAAAAATCAAAAACTACAAAATCTAGAAATACCATGTGCTATTTCATATGCAAAAAATAATTTCACTATCATTGAAATTCAAAATCCCACCGAGGAGAGAATATCAGTTACAGTTACAACCTTTACCAGTTGAACGATTTAACTCTGACCGAATTTTACAATTATAACATTATATCTGACAATGTAAAAGTACGTACGAAATCTCAAAATAAGGACATAAAAGGAGTAATCCTTACCCAACACATGAACTCGGAAGAAAAAACTCTGATCACAAAATTATGTCAAGAATTCTCGATATTAAACAACTTAGGAGACGCGGATTAAATTATACGTGACTTTATATTAAATGATAACGCGATTATTTCTTCTTATGTTGAATCGCATAAAGAAAACTCAAATAAATTGTACCAACAAATAAAGGAATTAAATGAAAAAACAACAGAAGACATTATCTTAAAGAAAATAAGTAAGAACTAAAAGTTCAGATTTTCACGAAATTATATATTTTTACATGTCAATTGTTTCGACAACACCGTGTCTTTATCTTTATCACATTTGATAAAGACACGGTGTTGTCGAAACAAATGTCATGTCAAAATATATAATTTCGTGAAAATCTGAACTTTTAGTTCTTATTTATTTTGATAAATGGATTTTCATCAATTAATAGCCACCTCAGTTCAATTATCTTAAAGAGAAACCAAAATAGTGAAGAACCACCAGATTTTAGTGATCAAAAATATGCTTTCATTAAAAGCAAAGCAAAGGACAAAGGCTAGTAAAAATATATTCTTTCAGGAAACCAATGAAGATCAAAATGTTGACTCTTCTACTAGTAGCAGTTCTAACCGAACGAATAGTAACGACAGACGTACAAGTTACCAAACTAGTAAATGCTATACTTCCTTTCTATTTATAGATATGTAGATTTAAATCAAATAATTAATCACACAGAAAGCATAGAGAAAGCGTTTAAAATAAATAAAGATAAGTTTAACGTTAAAAATATAACTAATAATATTTCTTATTATGGACTTGACAAAACTATTGTGAAATTAATTGAAAACCAAAGTAAACTACAATCTGGTTTAAAAATATTCCAAATTGCAGTATTAATGGCGATAAATTCTTTACAAAACCATCTTAGTTTTTAGGGATCATAACGAAATTAAACTTAGATTGCCAAAATGTTATAATGTATCTAGATAACCCAGAAAACGCTATTATGTTTGCAAAAGTTAATGCCCTTCATAATAGTATTTTACCGATTTGGGACTCTAGCATCAATCTATAAAGAAAATCAAATTCCACAATTTAAAAACATGTTATCTTCTTATCAAATCTTGGGAACTCCGGTAAATTTTGTAGACTGGAAAGTGATCTTTGCAGTTCATGTACCAATTTTAAGATCCGAAATATTTTCCTTTCACCATATTTTCCCCATAAATCAAAAATCTCAATACCCGTATATGGCACACGCGGAGAAGAACAGACAATTCATCGTAGAGATGTATGCATGGAGAACTTATTTGACGACATGGGAATGGAAAACTGCCCTATTACGAAAATAAACTTGTCAGAAGCAATTATAGAACAAATCACTCAAAATGTAGTTATTGTTCTGGCACAGAAGCCTGAAAAACTGTTAATTAAGTGTAACACGGCTCGATATATGCAAATCGAAGTACCAGTACTTATTAAGATACCAGTAAACTGTCGAGTAGAAATTAATGAAGAAAAATTCTTCAATGATGTAAAAATCCAGTTCGGAAAACCAATGAACGCAATGAAAGTCCTGGATACCCCCAGTCGTTCAAAAATAAATATTGACGAAATATACCAGCTAAGAGACTTGGCAGAAGAAATAACTCTCATGGAACCAGTGAAAGAAAAATCAAATATGTTCCAAATAATTGTCATTGTTTTTGGAATGATCGTGGTTCTATTTTTAGTTTTTATTGTTAAGAAGCCCTTCTTGGAAAAGGGACGAAAATCGAAGAAAACCGCATCCAAACCAGAGGAAACCTGCCAAGAAGAAAATTTTGAAGCTGTTCCGAAAAAAACGATTGGTTATTTTCGAATGTTAAGGAGGGAGGAGTTATATGCCCCAAACTGCTAAGCGAAAATAACGCTGACACTGCATCCAAAACCCTATTTATTCGATTGTCACATTGTAAAATTGCTCTTAATTATTGCAGCCTTTGTAGCGGCTAGTCCGATAAAACTTTATTTTGCTTTCTGTATAAATTAATGTTTTTAAAAACGCTCTCCCGAATTTTGAACATTTAAGGCACTAGAATAAATAAGAAAAAACTAGTCAAGAAAATATTTAACAGTTGATAGTTTAAGTACAATGAAATAAAAAGGATTTATTTTTTAATTCCTAACCCTCAATATTTTCGAATCTTATTACTAACTAAACTTTAGTAACGGGAGCCTTTTTGCAAAGCTTGTAATACGATATGGGGTAAATAATTTACCATAAGGTGGAAATGGAATAAAATAAAAGTAAAATAGACATGATAAACTATAGAAGTAGAAGTGGATAGTAATAAAATGCCGGGCAATATTTTTCATAGCATAATTATAGGGTACTTATTCGGAATTAGGTATCCTAGTTTCATTTACTGGTAAATTGAATATTTTAAATTGAAAAAAAAAATTACAAAATTAAAATTAAACAAAATCATACATTTGAAATTTAGTGTTACTATTACCATGACGAATCAAAACGGGTCAATTCGAGATCCATATTTCGTATATTTTCAAAATACTTGTGAATCAGTACAATGTTCAGTGGTCGACTGTTGCATTTAAATAAAATTTGAAATTTTCGTTAATTAGTTAGAAACGCGTTTTGACATTTTGTCGTTCTTGAAATGATTTGTGTTTAAATCTATTAATAAATATTCTAAAATACAAGTATCAGTGGGTAGAATAGAAGAACAGTTTATAATCGAAAGAATCCACATTTGGAATTTCCTTCACAATTTTCACAAGCTCTTTTGTTTCTGTTAGGCACTAACATGTCTTCCTGGATATAATGTCGTTGGTTCGATCGGTGTGCTGCTCTCTGTTTTTGGTTATTCTTCAGGATATGAATTTCACACAATTTTTGTAAAACTCCTTTTAATATGAAAGCGAAATTTAAAATATATTTTTTTAAA